ACTCGTGCATAATTTAATATGGTATATAAAATGGCAACTCGTGCATAATTTAATAGGATATATAAAATGGCAACTCGTGCATAATTTAATAGGATATATATAATGGCAACTCGTGCATAATTTAATAGGAAGTGATTACAAAATTGCACGACCGCAAGTTCAATTACCACTTGATTATATCCATTTTGAAATGTCCGCTATAATCATAATACATTTAAAATCAAGTTTTACATCAACAACAACAAAAAAAACACGGTTGTTCCTCTAAGAATATTTCCGTTTTGTTTTTCTTTTGGCGCGGTTCCAATTCGCGTTTAGATCGTATTGCTGGGAGCCAGTCAGATTGTAGAAATAGTCAGTGATTTCAAAATGGATATAATTTTATAGGTTACTTCTAGCACTTTGCTTGGAGCTGAAGATCATCCAAACGTATCAGTGCGTTTTTATTTTTTCGATAAAAAGGTGGTGAATAAGAGCTTTCCAGTTATGATGTCGTATTTCCGGGTCCAACTGTTTATATAAAACACATAAATAACGCGAAAACTAGTGAAATGCATATACCACTCCTGGGTGGTGGACGAGGTAATACCTAACAGCTTTAGCAACCCAAATAATAAGATGGGTAATAAATGGAATTCGAGAAGCACAGAAGAGAAACAACCAAAAACTCTACTCACATATACGACGCGGACACAGGCAGAGCTCGAACCCAGGTGGCATTGATATAAGAAAAAGAGGAAGAAGAAAGGAAAAAAAAAAAAAGAAAAAGAAAAAAGATCAAAAGAAAAAGAAAAAAAAAAAAAGGAAAGAAAGAAAAAGTAAAACAAATTTTGTTTTGAGCCCGTTGGTTGGTTTCCCATGCAGTTGAGGTCACCCTTAGAAGCTTTATACAAGAACACCCATCAACAAAACAATTCTATTGTGTTAAAAAGTGCTTCAAAATTCGTGTTCCTCTTGTTTTTCCTGTGTTGTTGTTGCTGTTGTTGTTGTTGTTGTTGTTGCTGATGCTGAAGTTGATGCTGCTGTTGTCGTTGCGGTTGGTGTTGCTGTTGTTGCTGCTGTTGTTGGTGGTGGTGCTGCTGATGCTTTTGTTGTCGTGGCTGCTGCTCCATATTTTGTGATTGCTGCTGTTGTTGGTGCTGCTTCTTTAGATGTTTCGTTGTTTGTATTTATACTGTTTTTGTTGTTGTTGTTGTAGCAGTAACCGCATTAGAATTAATAGAAGCAGCAGCAGCTTGAGGCTAACCATTATAACCGACCGGTCGTATCTTCATTTCTGCGCTTTTGAGAGATCTGTAAAGTCCAGTTACGAATCTCCAGTTTATGCCTTCAGCGTATGGAACATTTTGGCCGAGGTATTGACCGTTGAGATGAGACTAGAGTAGAAATAAACTAATTAACAAATTGTCATGCCTTATGAGTTATATCAGCCTAGAGGTTGTTTCAAGGTTCAATCCATGTAAGTTGGCCAACCTCTGACTTAGTTCAGCCCAGAAGTTGTTCCAGAGCTTGATCTTTGAGTTAGTCGTGCGCTGACTTGSATCAGCCTAGATGCTGTATAAGGGTTCGATCTGTGAGTTAGCCATGCCCTGACGTAGATCAGCCCAGAGGTTATTTCAGGGTTCGTTGTGTGAGTTAGCCATGCCCTGACTTAGATCATCTTGGAGGTTGGGTCAAGATTCGATATGTTCTCTTTACATTTTTACCTTTTTTTTCAGGCCTGTACGAAGAGTCAGCCTAGAGGTTTTTAAAGGTTCAATATGTGAGTTAGCCCTTAGAATTAAAAAACCCGGCAAATAGCTTATTTCACAAAAAAATAATATTAGTGAAATTTCTTTGTCCAATAACTAAAATGACATTTTTRTTTACTTACATAGTGGCAACCCCCAAACCACCAAGCGCCCTTAAATCTGTTGGCACAGTTAGTAGCGTGGTTGTCGTTGTCTTGATCAGATGTTGAGAATGCAGTCCACCTGTGATAGCCCAATGAGTCACCAGCATTCCCTATGGCGAAAAGAAATATGAAAATATCTCCTTCCATTCATCCATCAACAAACCAATCGGTTTATCCATTTTCTATCCATCATTCGTTCATTCATTTATTAATCCCTTCATTTGTTCATTAACTTACTGACGCATCTATTTATCCATTAATCTATTCATCCATCCATCCATCCATCCATCCATCCATCCGTCCATTTAATTGTCCGTCCGTCCGTCCGTCCGTCCGTCCGTCCGTCCGTCCGTCCGTCCGTCCGTCCGTCCGTCCGTCCGTCCGTCTATCCATCCATCCATCCATCAATAACTTTCCATTTATTTATCTTCTTTTTCTTCATTTCTCGCTTCCATTTATTCCTAAAATATAGGATGGTATATTACCTTCTTTAAAGGATCCAATGAACAATTCGTATTTCTGGGATTCTGTGCCAACTTTGAACGACTTATAAATCGCATAGGTTTTGTTCATATTGAAGTCTTCCAGGTCAATTCTGATCTCATTCTCTGTACTGTTGGTCAAGATATGCATGGCATCGAGTCCAAGCCAGTATTCTCCATTCTTGTTTCCAAATCCTCGCTTGTAATCGTCCCATCCTCGAAAGAAATCCACCGATCCATCAAGTCTTTTTTGTATCACGGTCCAGCCTCCCCCGTCTGTTACTTGATCACAGAAGACTTTGACGGTGTAGCCCGGAATTGGGGCGATTTCGTACACGCCACTTTTGCTAATTCCGCTTTTCTTAAGTCCTGCGCATGATGTTTCGTCTAAAGGAGAAAAACAAAAGTAAAGTAAAACTTTACACCAAGTTTTTGAAGTACGAGTTTAGTTCTGCATCAATCTTGTACCCAGAGCCTACGTTCCTCTTACGGTACGATTGCACGTTATCTTGTGAGTTTTTGCAACAAACCCATTTATGATGGCCCCAAAAACTATTTTTTTTCGTGCAACATTTCCTTATTTGAAGCTGGCAAATACTATCTTAGCTGATTCGATTCGACTTACAAACCAGATGTTGGATATAAGGATAATGGTTTGCAATGATCGACGCTTGATTTGATTCTAATTTCTTCTAAATTATAAAATTCCAAACTATATTTTTTGTTCACACGTAATCCAAACAATCAACCGTAATTATGTAAATCTACGATATACTTATACAAGATGGATGTAAGTAGGGAGTCATTGAGCAATAGTAGATATTATGGACGTAGCTAGTGCAGCACTTTATATGGGAAAAAGCTTGATATGTTTTACCCAATTCCCATGACATTGCATAGGTACGTCGAATTGGAAATTGTGTTTTTTACAACAATGCGATCAACGAAAAGAAAAAGACGAGTAGGGAGTCATTGAACRAAAGTAGAGATTATGGACGCAGTACAGCACCTTATACGGGAAAAGCTTAATATGTTTTTCCCAATTCCCATGACATTCCATAGGCAAGTGCACTTGAAAATGGCGTTTCTCACGACAATGTGATTGACGAAAAGAAAAAGACAAAATTTACGTCTTTTCCAACCCTACGAAATTTCCAAAAGAGTCGTACGAAGCAAGGCAATGGCTGCGAACTTTCATTGTCACGTAAATGAAGTCATGCTTAATTGCGAGCAGGCACTGCAACTACCAGCCGTCATATTTCGTGCTCGTACTCATACTTATCGGATCTAAAGGTCTCTATATTGTCGCGACGGAAAAGCATGCGCTTCTCCATATGTGATAGAGAAGCGCTATGTAATTGTGCTCAAGCTCTAAATATTAATAAAAAAGAAAATTTAAGAAATTAAAGTATTCCTTGGTTATAGGAAATGAGTAACTTGGTAACACTTACTCAAACACTTAAACGTGTTAAAATCAAAATCAGGTATGCATTTCAATTGACTGGCACAGGGACTTTTGGAACATGGATTCTGTAAGAAAAAACAAAAGATTGTCATAAGAAGATATAACGGAGAATGTGCAATTTTATATGTCTTCCTTCTTCTCCGGTATCCTCCCCCCTCTTTCTCTCACTTCCTTGCTTCCTTGCTTCCTTGCTTCCTTG